AGAGAGAGAGAGAGAGAGAGAGAGAGCGCTCAGTGGTAGAGGGCTTGCCTAGCATGCATGAGGCCCTGAATTTGATCCCCAGTACTGCAAAGAAAAATAGCATTTAAGACTTGAAACCCAGGGAAATACAGAGCTACAGCACAAAGCTGTTCCTCCTACTGTTCTCAACACTTGTGAATACCTAACAATGTGTTATGTTATAGAATAGTCCTGGGTAAAACTTGCCAATGAAAAAACCAAGGTGCAGAGGTGCAGTCACAGTGGTAGTAGATGCAAGACAGGGGTATTGCCAGCATCAATCAGTGCGCAACCATAGAAGGGACAAGGTGCTTGTGTTTTCTTTGCTGGAGCACACCACCTCAGCAAAGTGAAGCAGTCTGGATTCCATGGTCCATCATCTACCTGCACCCTGAGTGCATCAAGATGAGATGCAGCAATTCATGCCAGTACGTGAAGGCCCTGCTGAAGACAGACCATCTGCAGCCCTCTCTCCTTCACCTGGGCCTGAGTACTAAGATCATTAAAGCCCTGAAGGAGACAAGACACAGGCATTTGTGTCTGTTGGCATCCCCCCCAAGAAGCCAGATGAAGCAAAGATGAAACGGCAGAAAGTAAGACCCTTCCTGACAGCAAACAGACATCATTTCTTTTTCTCAATCTTGAAAACATCAATATCATGGCCAATATTCAGCCTAGAAGGAGCTTAAGAGTGCAGCCTCGGGGGCAGACTGCTCGCAGTTGCATCTGGACTCTGGTGGTGAGGCTCTGTGTGGCCCTAAGCATGGAATTAACCCGGTGCACCTCAGTTTCACCATCTGGAATATAGGAACCATCACTAACAGCCCGCACCACCAAGGGTCATTGTCAGGATTAAGTGAATCAATGCATGTGAAACATAAAGAAGAGATCCTTGCCTAGATGAAGTCCTGTCTGTGGTGTATCTTATGGAAGTGGTCTCAGCACTTGCCAGTTCTGGGTTTCCCTGACTCTCTGTCCAACCTCTCATTCCTCTTCCAAGTGTGGTCCACCAAGAATCAGCTTATGTACCACTAGGGAGCTTGTTAGAAATGCAAACACCCAGACCCCGTCCCCGATTTACTAAACCAAGGTGGGCTCAGGTTCTACTTTTCAGGTGAATTTTAAAAATTGAGCAAGCATTATCTTAGCATTTTTTTCTTAACTGAGAAATTAAGCCAGATGCCCACTTCCAAGAACCCCATCGGGTGAGCTGCACTGTAAACAGTGCCTGTGGGGATCAAATGTCTTCATCATTCCCTTTGACAGGTGGACTGGTTAGAAGCAGGGCATTTGGTGGAGGGGTGTTGAGGTCCTCTACACAATCAGCCGAGTTAATCAGGGGGAAGATGATATGGGGAGAGATTGAGAGGAGAGTCAGATTTCTACCACTATATCATATTAGTAGTCCCATTGAGTCCGAATCCTGGAGGTTGGAGCGTTGTATTCAAGACCTTGGTGATGGCCTCCAGCTGCACCTATTATTTATTTATTCATTTATTTATTTATTTATAGTATTCAGTTAAGGTCCATAAAGGAAACTCTGAGAGCTCATTTTTTTTGAAATAGACTGTTAGGCAATGAAAATGCATCAACAATGTTTGCTGTTTTCTCAAAATTCAAGCACTTCAGTGAGAAGCCCTGCAGATATAGAAAGAGGGGAAAGAGGGCTGGGGATGTGGCTCAAGCGGTAGCGCGCTTGCCTGGCACGCGTGCGGCCCGGGTTTGATCCTCAGCACCACATACAAACAAAGATGTTGTGTCCGCCCAAAAAACTAAAAAATAAATATGAAAAAAAAAAAGAGGGGAAAGAAGGGGCTGAATGAACATCTTCGGTAGCATTTCCTATTCTTTTCCTCTTGCACATCTCTGTTCATTGGTATATCTCCAGGGTGTTCCTCCATGTGATCAACCGACACAAATAGAAAACACACTACTTCTATGGTGCATATTCCTTTCTAGTTACTTCCTCTCCACCAGTGAAACAATCACTTTTCCAGCTTTCTTCCTAGGCTGAAAACTTGGAGGTGTTAGTCAGCTCACAGCCTCTGATGCATTACGACATCTCTTGGATCTGCTTCTTAGAATCTCTATGTCAGACGGGTACAGTGTGGTCCAAGTTCTCTCCTCAGGGCTGGCCGGCTTCAGCAAGCTCTTGGCTGTATGTACCCTTGGTGGAGCCTCCTGGTCCCACATGCCGTCGCTGCCACAGCAACACCTCTCAAAGACTTTTGGATCATGTTCATGCCTTTAGCAAAGAACCCACTTTGCCTTCACTTTGTCTCTTGTGTCAAATCCGGATGTCTCTGCCCAGCATCCAAGATATTTGCTAACTCTGGCTTCCCACATTTCATCAAGAGAATTCTCCATATTCCTTTCCATGCCAGGAAACCAATGTGCCATTCACGAGGCTCCACTTGCTATTTCCCACCTCCAGAGCATCACCTGTTGTGCCTTCTTCCCCACATCCCCAACCTCGCACTTCACCCATTCAACATTTTCTTTCTTCTTTCCTTCCATTTGTCCTCATTTCTCCTTTCAGAGCTCTTATTAAGCATTCATTCAAGACCCTCTAGCCTTACTGTACTGCTACTGCTATATCCACATTCTTCCATGTGTGTTGCCTTGCAAACATCCCCGGGCGATTTCTGTATGTAGGTTCTCATCTGGAGACTTTACTACTGAAAAATAGAGGCAGAGAATTTTCCATTTCTTTTGGTAATGCTATACTTTGGAGCTGGGTGGTAGAGGGGGGACAGTCCAGAGTACTAAGTTAAAGTGTCCAGAATAAAGTGGGGGCTCACTGCCTCTTATTGACTGACTTACAAAAAGGCTACTCAATTCCCTAAAGACGACCAGGAGAAAAAGAGCAGTTTGGAGTCCCCCCTTTGCTGCAGCATATTCAGAGAGTCCTAATGAGACCAAATAGGAACCTTCTTCCTATTCTCATATGCATCGTGTGAACAGAAAAAGTTAATACATGAAGAAATCAGGCTAATTGTAGCCTTTTGGACCACTTCGTGCTTCTCTTCTGCTCTGAATGCTTGCCTGGTTTGCATTATGATTTCTTTCCTTGCTGGAAAACAGACTTTCTCCCTTTCTTTGGAAGGAGTGGGACCTGTTGGGAATCTGTAGCTCCAGGATTCAAATGCAATGGGCTTGGCTGGAGAGCTCTGCAGTGCATTTCTTGACAAGGCCTGAAAAGCCTATTGAATTCTGGCCAGTGCTTTTCTGCAGCGTTTGGATGTGTTTCAGCTGCAGTGTTTGACTGGGTAATCGAAATAGATTTTTTTTTCCGCTTCCTTAGCAATCTTATGTTACCATTCCATCCTCAGAGTTAAAATGAAATATTTTACAATCATGCAGGTACTTTTTCGAGTATAATAGAATCCTACTTCTTTCACAAGCAAATGAACTATTTTTTTTTTCAAATTACACGTAAACTGGTCAAAATATGAACTGGTGGTCCTGTCCTGATAGAAACATTGGCAGTCAGTTAATTAGCTTGCTAGAGGATAGCAAGTTTCTTTGAAGATTTTTTTTTTTTTTTTTTTTTTGTAATTAGACATAAGCATTTTGGGGGGACTTTTCTAATAGTGATTTTTATCCCTCATCATATGTTTGAGGTACTGTGTGTGATAATCTCTGCAGTGTTGCTAGCATTTTCATGTGTGGCGGGCGGGAGGTTTTGATACTCCGTGTAATAGGTTATTTGTTCTTAATCTTCAAAGGGCTGCTGACCTTTGAATGTGCTCCATATCTAAAATTCTAGCTTTAATTATCAGATTAACTTGCATTTTTTTTCCCTTTTGTGATTAAAGAGGGGAAAAGCTGAAATGTGTTTATTATCCCAGAATCTACTTGAGATGGTAGGATCCCAAATGTTTTGTTTGTTTTGGAAATGAGCAGTGATCAAATTATAGACTCCTTCAAGTCAGGGAAGGAAATTGATAAGTCAGGGGAACAGAGACATTGAGTGACATGTGCACTTTGCTGAACAACACTGGAATTGTGCCTTTCAGGGTCCCTGCAAGTCATGAATAAGACAAGGAAGATTATGGAGCATGGGGGTGCCACCTTCACCAATGCCTTTGTGACCACGCCTATGTGCTGCCCGTCCCGGTCATCCTTGCTCACCGGGAAGTATGTGCACAACCATAATGTCTACACCAACAATGAGAACTGCTCTTCACCCTCCTGGCAGGCCATGCACGAACCTCGGACCTTTGCTGTATATCTTAACAACACTGGCTACAGAACAGGTAAAGGATGACATTTCTAGCCCATGAACCTCTGGTACTATGTCTTTGTAGACACAGGAAAATGCATTGTGTAGTGTAATAGATGTGAAGTTCCCATAAGCCTCTAAACTAGTCTAGTTTCTCTCTTCTCTGACAGAATCCTCCCCATCCCTTACTGTCTTCATCCATGTGCTGTTGCTATAACCAAATACCTGAGACAGGGTAATTTATAACAGAAAGAAATTTATTCATCTCAAGGTTCTGGAGCCTGAGTAGTTCAGGAGCATGGGGGCAGCTTTGGTAAGGGCTTTGTACTGTGTCATAGTATGGCAAAAACATGTAAGAGCACATGCAGAAGAGACAGAACACAAAGGGCAGCCTTGCTTTATAGCAAACTGCTCTCAAGGGGATGAATCCACTCCTGGGATCACCTCTTAAAGACCCAACTTCCCAAAACCACCATAATGAAAATCAAACGTAAATATGAGTTTCAGAGTAGACAAACCATATTCAGACGGTTAACCCTGACTTTTTTACTCTGAAGAATGTACCAGAAAGATCCCTTAGAGAAAGATCAGAAGGGTGCTCAATGGACATGATCGGAAAGTGTCATACCCTCCTGGGCATCCAGTGGCTAAAATGTCCTAGAATAATAATCTGCAACAAAGAGTGTGTGTCCCATTTACCTCCTCACTCCAACCTGCCAATCTCAAGGGGCCATGGTACAACTTGCAGCTTTCCTTAGCTGTTCACAAATTCCTACTTATTATTTCAGGGAGAAATTAGCAAGTATCTTCGGGCTGCTTAGGGTCTGGGACATGGCAGATGGTCAAAATTACTTATTGAATGAATGAATAATGGAATGAACAAGCCAGTGTGTACTATATTTATTTATTCACACAGTTAATAGGACTTGGTTGCTTTAGTTTAAGTTGTGGTTCTTTTTATATCTCAAGTGTTCACCTCCATCTTGCTATTCCTGCTAGCATTGTTTAACATTCACAGGGCAAGAGGAAGTCCTTAGTTGGTGTTTTGAAAACTGGGAAACTCTTTCAAGAGGTGTTATAAATATCATGGCAAACTTAATGAGAAAGAAGCAAGACTCCCTCTGAGGATGTTACCCTCAAAGTCCTTATTCCCCCAGCACTGGACACTAACCTTGGCTTTTAGATTATTTCGTCATGGAACAAGATGAAGACAGGTGGGCGGGGGGTGGAGGGGCATAGAAAAATAGGAGTTGGGTGTGGTGGTTGTTGTTGTTTCCTACAGAACCATCTAGATTTATTCATAAGAATTAAAAATGTTACCATGAAAGTTTATTGGAAATGATTCTCAGGGCGACAGTTTTTCTCTGCTGAAGGTTTAAAAGTAAAGGATTTCAGATAAATATTCTCTTAAACCTCTTTTAAAAATGAAATTAATCTTTCCCACTGGACTCAGGAAATATGTGGCCATTTGCTTTTTTTTTTTGCAGAGTACCCCGTGGGCACTTACTACTTGTTATTTATGGATGAAAATATTGATTGTGCATATGATAGTATCGTCATTCAGAGGCTGCTTAAGATCTTTCCTCGCAGAAGCAGCTTCTCCTGTGATCTCAAGGGTGTTTGCTTCTGCTTCAGAGAGAAACTAGGTTACAGGGAGGTTGTAGAGAGTGCCTTATCCAAGTGTGTTTTCTCACATTAGTGATTTAAATTTATAGCACCTTTCATCTGAGGACTCTAAAGCAATTTGAAAATCCATCAAACATCCCTGTGGGTTTCCCAGACGGCAAACGTACTTGGCTATGTTTTATAACGGAGGTGAGGTTTTCAAATGTTGTGTAACCAGCTCAGAGGCAGAAGCAGAAATGGTCCCCCAAAGCCTGGTTCCTGATTTTAAACACCAAATTGTGTTTTGCTCCTGGGAAGTATTGTATGAAATCAATGCCTTTCAACTCCCAGGCTCCCTATAATTTCACCCTTAGCAGCAGACCTGGAGCTGGGAGGGCTGGGGCGCTCACCCTATCCAGAGTACATGGATGGTGATTGCCGTGAGGAATAGAGATGTAAGGTGAATCACAGGCCAATCAGGACCTAGAACAGTCAAAAAGGGTGTGCTAATTTGTTTCAGGGCTAACTCAGGGAAAAGAAGAAAGAAGGAGTTAGCTTTTGTTGCTTACCTACTCTGTGCTGGGCACTTTAGCGACCTCACATAGTATTTAAAGCAATCTTGGAAAGGGAGATTTCACCCTTGTGACCAATGGGTTGCAGGCCAGCCAGTGGTGGAAGGAACTCAGCACATCTGACTCCAAACTCCTTTCTCTTTTTATCGTCTTATTTCTTTACATGTTATTCATCCTGCCTTCTTCCAAAATGCCTTACAGAGACACATAGAACCCAATAGGATACGGAGTAATAAGAACTTGGCACGTATCCAGGCATGGTGGCGCACACCTATAATCCCTGCACCTCGGGGGGCTGAAGCAGGAGGATCTCGAGTTCAAAGCCAGTCTTAGCAACTTAGGGAGGCTCTAAGCAATTCAGTGAACCCTGTCTCTAAATAAAATATTAAAAGGGCTGGGGATATGGCTCATATACTGGGTTCAATCCCCAGTATCCAAAAAAAAAAAAACTTGGCAAACAGAAAAAAAAAAGTAAATTAGTTAAAGTCAAGGCAAAGGTTGGTATACAAACTACATGGAGTTATAGGGAAAGGGTGTTTATTTAAAAATAAGCTTCCAGACGGCAAAAGCAAAAATGGAATCACTATTCATTGCAAAGTTCACTGGGTCACTAGTGAAAAACAAATAAAAACAAATCAGTTGTTTCTAAGAAGTGTAGTATATTATGGAACTTATTTCAATTATACTAGGCTGTGATTACCCAGTGATGGATTTTAAGGGTTTGAATAAAACCCAGAGATTGTTTAGTTTAATCCCCTTATTTTCAGAGAAGCAAATTTAGACCCAATGATTGAAGAGACTTGCTAAAGCTATGTTGATGTTATAATGAGAAGAGCAGGCACCTGTGTTCAGGGTTCTGTCCAGTGTGCTCCCCTGATCTGAAGGGTTGTGCCTAGGATGCTACCGTGGGTGCACCCTGAGGCTCTCCCTCTGCTGCCCAGCAAGACTGCTCCAGCCTAGGTCTTTCTCCAGGGAGAACAGATTTGCCCCTGGAAACTAAGACTGATTTGAAAGCCACCCTTCTTCCCAAGGGTTGATGTGCTTGGGTAATGAGGGAATTTATAGTGCTCACTCCTACAAAATACAGAGAATTCTTTAAGGGGAACAAGGACATTTCCAAATACTTTGGAGTAGGAACAGGATAATATGCACTTAAGAAAATAACTGTTGATTTACTTATTAGTAAATCAGAGAGATTAAAAATTGATGGCAGTGATAGAGATTGATATAATTTAAATTTATCTCTGAGAAAATATTGAAACATCTCAGACTATTAGGAAACAAAGATGTTTCTGTGACAATAATTATTGATCTAGCCATGATTGTGACCCATTTGAAATTGCACAAATAAGCACATAAGAATGACAGACGTGTTAAGGAATTATGAGTGTTGGTGAGTAGATATTAAACTGACATAATTATTTATGAGACACTAACCTAGAGGGGGAAATAACTGACGTATAAAGGTTTCATTACCTCCCTGATAATGAATTTATTGTTTGGACTATTTAGCTGCAAACCAAGAAAAATAATAAAAGAAACTGAAATATATATTATACATAAATATCCATCTAGAGAAAACACAAAGCAGCCATAAATTTTATGAAGAACAAACAGCTCCAAGAAGACAAATTACTAAGAGGCTTGTTTTGGGAGGCATCCAGAATACATGGATTTAAATGAATTGAATTGATCCAATATTATATTTACCATAGTATGAGTTGATTTTTCTTTTTCAGAATTTAGGCATATTTTTGGACCGGTTTTAGCCTAAATTCTTCTAACTTTACTCATGGAAAACATGAGTCTTTAAGAGCTTAAATGTTCAAGGAGGGAAAAAATGCAGTAATGTGTCTTTTGTATTTTGCTCTAAAAAGTGAAGTAGGAATGACAGTGTATCATCTATTATAAAAATGAATATGCTGCCTGAAATCTGCTTTTTTTAAAAAAAAGTTTTAAATTTCTTAGGAGGGCACAGATGTTAATATAAAATTTAGCACATCCAGTTTTAAGGTTAAAATAATCAGCCACAGTTGAGAGGTACTGTCTCATGCAAAAGGAAAGTCCTGAAGTAAGATGGAAGGATGTAGAGTCCCATCCTTTGCTATCCTTAGTTTGTTTTGAGGACTCAGTCCAGTTTTCCAACCCATATAATGCAAATATTACTAAACTTCCTTTTCTGTTCAAAATTATATTGTAACTTTATTTTGTCTATTCTAATTATTATATTGATTCTTTTTAAAAAATATAGTATTCAAATTATAAGACAATATAATAAAATCACACAAGAGTTAATTTTAATTTAATTCTACTAATTCTACTTCATGTCACAAGTGGAAGGAGGTATATTTAATAAAGATCTGCAATAAAAATTTTTTCTTTTTTTGACAAGGGGTCTAACTATGTTGACCAGACTGATCTCCTGAACTCAAGTGATCCTCCTGCCTCAGTCTCCTGAGTACCTGGGATTACATATCCTTATCATCAAGCCTGGCTTTATAATAAGCCTTTTTGTAAAGAATCCTTTTGTAATGAATCAATTTAGACAAATTAATCTATTTTCTAATTTTATGTCTTTTTACATTGCAAAATTTATTTATGTTATTTATAGCAAGTGTATTTATTCTGTAGTATGAGATTTATTTAAATGTAGACTTCACTTAAAGTAAGACCTAATATTCTTATTTTTATGGATTATGGTACTACAGATTTTTGATAGGTACATGAACATGAAACATAGCATACATTTATTCAACTACAGTATGTTTGAAATACTTTAGACACTGGGCTATGGAGAGCTAAATTATAAGTTTTCTGTGTTCACCAGACTTAAAATCTAGTTGAGGAAACCAGACTC